CTAGGAAGCAGTCCAATGCACAACAGGTGCATCTTAGTTGTTACTTAGCTATATTTGTTACATAGCTATTTTTTCATTTTACACTGTCCGCTGCTTTTTAAGACTTCTCTTTTAGCTGTTCATCATGACCTTCTTGACCAGGGGTCAGCAACCTTTTTCAGCCGTGGGCTGGTCCACTGTCCCTCAGACCATGTGGTGGGCCGGACTATTTTTTTGGGGGGGGGGATGAACGGATTCCTATGCCCCACAAATAACTCAGAGATGCATTTTAAATAAAAGCACACATTCTACTCATGTAAAAACACCAGGCAGGCTCCACAATTAACCCAGAGTTGCATTTTTAAAAAAGGGACACATTCTACTCATGTAAAAATACGCTGATTCCCGGACCATCCGCAGGCCAGATTGAGAAGGCAATTGGGCCGCATCCTTGGGTTGCCTACCCCTGTTCTTGACCTAGGCTTTAAAAACAAAACTAGTCTCTCTTCTGCTTGCAACACCTGTCCTTAAAAATGTAGCTTCCAATTCATTCAACCTATTACTTTAGATTCTGCATCTCTTAGTTTCCATTTCTTGTTTTGTCAGGCTGCTTGTTCCTTCCTCTCTTCCTCTTGGCACCACACTTCTTAAAATTTGAAAAGGATAACAGCAGAAGTGCCATAAACACTGAGTGTGTGACTTATGTTGGCAACACTCACCCACAAAGCCTAATTTGCAATGGATTAACTTGCCCTCAATTTTCATTTAATTAAATGTGAAAGCAGCACGTGGTATATGTACCTGTGAGAATGTTTTTAAAAGTTAAAAAATTAACAAGCTTTTAGAAATCTAAACAAGCTGCCACAAGACAATGTCCCAAGCTAGACAGGCTGAGCTAAATTCAGAATTTAGAAAATGGTTACTGCTGAATACACAGCAGATGTGTACCTTTTTGTGTGCTGCATCCTGCTCAAGGCTTCTCACTGTTTCACTGCTGCATTGCTGCACAAAGCTTAAGTGAGTGAATTTGATTCATACCTTAACCTACAGCATCAGGCAAACCGAATTATTGGCACTTAAATTAACCTAGATGGAAGAAGGAACAAATGATACAGTTTAATCTATGTAATATTTACATGGAAGTGACAGCCCCTCTGTTCAGTGGTCCCAACTTCACTGTATAAGATTTCAGGCTATACAACTGAACATGACTGTGTGAGATATAACAACAACAACAACAACAATTTATTATTTATACCCCACCCATCTGGCTGGGTTCCCTCAGCCATTCTGAGTAGCTCCCAACAGAATATTAAAAACACAATAAAATATTAAACATTAAAAACGTCCCTTAACAATACCACTTAATCTCTGTCTCTGCCCTGATGGCTATTATAGGTGAGTCAGAAAAAAAGATAACCCGAATGCATGATTTTGTCTTCTACTCATCATTAATTTGTAAACATAAATTTGCTGAGATTCAAGTTTGTTGGTTGGTACTGAAGGTCAAAATATTTCTGAAATGCCAACATCCTTTTTAAATATGAAGTGGAAACTATTAGAGAGAGAAATTAACAATGGTATATTGTTTCTACACAAAATATTAGAGCATCTGATGAGACTGCTGATTGGTGCTGTCACACTCAGGGTCATCCTTATGGGCTTCCTATAGGCTCCTGGTTTGCCAATATGAAAACATGATGCTAAGCTAGATAGGCCTTTGACCTGATCTAGCAGAGCTGTTCTTATGTTCTTAGGAGTATTGGTTGCATTTCCAGTACAATGGTACCTCTAGTTAAGAACTTAATTCATTCTGGAGGTCCGTTCTTAACCTGAAACTGTTCTTAACCCGAGGTACCACTTTAGCTAATGGGGCCTCCCGCTGCCGCCGCGCCACCGCTGCATGATTTCTGTTCTCATCCTGAAGCAAAGTTCTTAACCCAAGGTACTATTTCTGGTTTAGCGGAGTCTGTAACCTGAAGCGTCTGTAACCCAAGGTACCACTGTAGACTGATTTCCCTAGTGCTTCAGCAAGCCACATGTTCACAGATTAGCACACCAGATGGGTGCTGTTATCAAAAAAACAGTGGTGCTACTGGTCCAAACAAATACCACAGTAACAGTAGTACCTAACCAGCCATTCAATTTCTAGCCATTTCTACAAGAAAGCACTTATTTGATGTACTTACTGTGTTGCTACCACTCAGGTTACTGGAGGAAACTAAAGGTGCCTTGATTTAATCAAACATAAAGGCAGCCTCAAATGTTTGCTTAGGGGCTTTGCCACTAGATGGCATCATCCATTAACTGCAAAGATTAAATACTTTCTGTCATGACCTTAAACTTGACAGAAAGTAAAATGTAGTGGACTATATATTTTTAAAGTTATGCACTTCTTCACTGTATCCTGATTCAAGGTTTTTTACTGAAGATATGAGATAGCAATAACAAAACAAGCACACACATGATGTAATCTCTGCTGTAAAGCTGGAATTATATACACATGCACACCACACAGCAGCAGCTCAAAGGACTAGACCATTATTCTTACGGATTCTCACATTATACACACACACATACAGAGAGAGAAAGGAAAGCTCACAACCAATGACTGAGTTAAATCTTGTTTCAGTGAAATCAGCATCTGTTCTATGAAGGGCAACATTACAGAACAGGCATGTGTTTAGGGTCCTTATTGGTGCCACCACATCAATCATGCCAGCTGCATAAACAAATCAATAATCAATTGGCTGGTTCAGTGGATGATACTTTCCCCCCATAAGGTGCACAAATCCAGATTTGTTACTTTGCCCTAAACTGCCCTCAGGTGGCATGGAAACACCTTTTCCTGCCATGCAGAATCAAGCATGCTCTGCTGCCTAGTCACGTTCCTTGGCTTTTTCTCCATAGCAACAACATTTGCATTGCCTCTTCTCCACCAGATTATTTTGTAGCTCTCTTAATCACTTAGTCTATCTCCACAATAAGCTTGCCTTGAACGAAGATTGTTGGAGAGTTCCAATAGTTTTTATATCCATTCTCTTTGTTCATTCAAAGAAAGAAAGAAAGAAAGAAAGAAAGAAAGAAAGAAAGAAAGAAAGAAAGGGATTTGCTATCCTTGAAGCTAATTGAAAGGGCAAACTAGATCTTAAGTTAAGCAAGTGATTGGACCTTGTGCACTTGGTTTTTATTTCCTAAATAGCATCCAGGGAGGATGATTCAGCTTGAGACCATGGCTTGTGCAGGGGCAATGTAACTTATTTCTTTCTACTGCAGTTTCATTCGAGATTCCTTACCACCTGCAGCTAGCTGTTTGCCCACTGGGGTGGATGTTTTTAAGAAGAGTTTGGATGTCATGGATGCTTTAGTTGAGATTCCTGCATTGCATGGGGTTGGACTAGATGACCCTCAGGGTCCCTTTCAGCTCTACGATTCTGTGAAAATATTCATTACTAGCAAATATACCTTATTAGATTAATTCATATTATATACTGCCTGACAGGGTTCATTGGACAAAAATGTTGCAGGAGAAGGAGATTTTCCAGTAATACAGTCACTCACTATGCGTAGACTGGTAGAACTAAACCTAATTGTTCATTGTGTGAAAATTTCTCACTGCTGGCTGTTGAATGAATGGCAGAAATGCTTAATTCATTTTGCAAAATTAAAAGCAGAGCTTTGGAGGTGTTTTTATCCATAGGCATAGACAAAGGAACTCATCCTTAGGAAACAAATCTGTTAACAGATGAGCAAGCAAAGCCCTCTCAAAGTCCCCTAATAGATTTTATACATTAAGAGGTACGTATCTCAATTCTCTGAGTGCCAGTTCTTATGTAACCAAAATGGCATCATCCACACACTACAGGCAGACTTGGAGAAAACCCAACATGCGAAGAAACCTTTCAGGAGGAAATCCACAGGAGGAATATCTCCCCACTACCCCGCAAAAAAGTAGTGCAATGAAGACGGAGCATGCTGACAGTTGTCGGTGGGAATGGAAAACTGCGGGCACAGGGGTAATAGAATGGAGTCTCTGAAAATACTATTTTATCACAGGTCCCACTTACAGAATTTATATGGGGGGGTGCAGACTGGGAGCACCATGATATGGACTGCTTTGTTTGTTTATTACATGTATATGCCACTTTTCCTCCATTTTGAGCATGCATTCTGATATGTTTGAAGGGAGATTAGATGCTGTTGGCTATTTAATGAGCATTCAGTCTGATTTGTTCATGGGGAGGCAAGATGGCATGCTATCACTCTTTCTATTGCAGTTCCCCATACTTTCCTCATTCTAAAAACTCTGATGTCTTGGGGAAGTGAGTTTGTTGCTCTAAATCACTTTTCATTGTGCAACCTGAATTAGCCAGTGTGTGACTGAATCCCACCTAAAAACAGCAACAGTCTGGAAATGGCACGTTTCTTGTTTGTTTTTTGGCAGGTGCATTCTGTAAAAAGTCATTGATACAGTGCTTTAGTGGTGGATTTATACTGGATCGTTCACACATCAATCCACTTTATTAGTTGTTCTGTGAGGCTTTCTTCATTGCTGTATGAAGGGGTAGTCTTGCACTAGACAGCAACAAAATTGGGACCCAACCCCCAACCCCCCACTCTGGTATATTTGTGGTATTAAAAAGTTACAGGATTAAAGAATGAAGTTATAGGACATGCACTGATTGGAAACAAGGCAGTATGTCCACCCCAGACTTTTTGCAGGCACAAACAGTATGAAAACTGGATCACGTATAACGATCTTAATATCCCCACAGGCACAACTCAGCATGGATGCACAATATATGTAAAAGGCACCTGGAGGAGTCATTTCACTGTTGCACAACTCTTTCTGAACGCTATCCAGCTTCTACACTCTATTCATGTTGCATAGTTTTGACCAGCTCAGCTCTCCTGAAATACTGGCTATCTGATTGGTTACTGTAGCCTGATAGGTTAGTGGGAGGACTTGAACACCAATTTAAGTTAATGAAAAACTACTACTCCAAGGGCAGGCAGTACAAAAGCACAATTAAGTTTATCGGGTGCAAGCCTTTGTTGAAACTAATCTTCAGGTGAACCTACAGAAATGAAAATTGACATTCATAGTCACATTCTGCCTAAGGAGTGGCCTGATCTAAAACAGGTAATAGCTAGACTGGATATTTGGTACAAAAGCTCCAGGTACAAATATTGCTTCTGATTGCTATGAATGTTTTCAGCTGAGCTTTATCTCTCATACTTCTGGGCTTTGAGAACTCCCTTCTGGGTATATTTTTTTAGGCTGAACTCTTAAAGAAGAAGATGACTGTATTCCATTAATTTGAATCCATTAAACAAAGGTGTTCTGATAGTTGCTTGGTAAAGCAGACAGGGTTCTCTGTGTGTTGTTGTTTAAAAAAAATACTGACAGGAAAATGTCCCTTTTCTTTTTCACCTTTTAATAAAAATATCAAGTTTTCAGCTGCATTGCTGTGAATCAAAACACAGTGGGTTTGGCTAGTGTTAAGTGAGGTTGTCCTCTCACCCCCCACCCACTTGTTTCAAGCCACATTTGCAGTGTTGCACTTTTGGAGAGGGGATGGGGATGTCTTCACACGCATGACCTTTTTGGTTTCCCCAGCCCTGGAAAAACAACAACCCAGAATTCTAATTACCGTATTTTTCGCTCTATAAGGCGCACCAGACCACAAGACGCACCTAGTTTTTGGAGGAGGAAAACAAGAAAAAAAATATATTCTGAATCTCAGAAGCCAGAACATCAAGAGGGATCGCTGCGCAGTGAAAGCAGCGATCCCTCTTGCTGTTCTGGCTTCTGGGATAGCTGCACAGCCTGCATTCGCTCCATAAGACGCACACACATTTCCCCTTACTTTTTAGGAGGGAAAAAGTGAGTCTTATAGAGCAAAAAATACGGTAACTAAGTTGCCATCTGCACCTACATGATGGCTGTATCACAAACACAGACCCTGCTTAAGTATGAACTGCATGCAGCTTATGTTTTCTAGTCAGATTGAAGCTGGTTTGAAGGGGGGGGGAATGCATCAAAGAAGAGCTTCTCAATAAACTACACGATCAGTACTGTGGCCAAAGTTATGTGTATGCAGCTTGAAAAACTAGCAGTGGGAGCGCTCTGGATGCAGAGTAAGCTGTAATGTGAACATACCCCTTATCGGCATCTTTCTTCATTCACTGAAGGCACCATTGAGTTATTGGTATACGGTGCAATCCTAAGCATTTTTATTCAGAAGTGCTACCATTCAGTGGGACTTGTAAAGGTAAAGGGACCCCTGACCATTAGGTCCAGTCGTGGCCGACTCTGGGGTTGCGGCGCTCATCTCGCTTTATTCGCTGAGGGAGCCGGCGTACAGCTTCCAGGTCATGTGGCCAGCATGGGACTCATAGGCTCAGTGGGACTTACTCCCTAGCAAATATATCTAGTATTGCAGCCAATGTATTTAAATGCATAGAGCTATTTAATTTATCAGAATAAATCAAATATCTTTATATTGGGTCATATCTAGTATTAGTCCTACTTGGAGTAAACCCATTGATATCACTGAAGTTAAAAAGCTAAGTCCATTAATGTCAATTGGTCTAATCACAGTATGACTTACACTGGATACCACTCAGCATTAGAAAAAACTAAAGTTTGAGAATTTGTGCTACTTGCACTGGATTATTAAACAAGCCAGTAGCATACACAATGCTGCAGGAAATGACACTTACCTGGGAGGGAGTAAACCTCACTGAACTCAACAAGACATACTTCTGAATGTCTTAGATGTATATAGCTGTGGTCCCCTATAAAATGCCCAGCCCACTAAGTTGGCTCAGAAGGATACTATGGTCAATGGCATTAAAAGCACCTGAGCGATCAAGGAAGAATAATAGAGATGTACTCCCCCTGTTCTTCTTCCAATCTATCAGTCAAACTATTTATTTCAAACTATCATTTGACTGTTTCTGGGGTCTATATCTGGTCTTTAGTTATTTTCAGCAAAACTCAGAAGTTCACATTAAAATAATATTTTAATTGGGCACACTATGAACTAAGAGTTGGGTAACTCTTTTTACTAACATACCAACCTTATTTTAAACTGGTGGTAATCAGTGCATGAGCACATCACTTACAAAAAGAACTTGATTCTGCAGAGGGGTGTTGCGGGGATACTCCATGCAAAATACAGTTTGACATCAATGGAAAACAAAAATTGCAGGTTTTGTGCCAGGTTATTCATGCAGATGCATTAAAGTTGCCTCTATGTGAACTAGTTATTGGCTATTTCAGAGTACCTTTTCAGTCTCTCATAATGAGACATTTCAAACCCAAGAATCTTTGAAATAAAAGAAAGCTGCCTTTCTTTCATCTGCAATCCCCAACCCCCGGATATTAGAAGAGTTTTAAGCCTCTCTGGGAGAATCAATGGACATTTCACTTGTGTATTTGAAGCTTTTCTCTGCTCTTTAAATATTAATAAAAGAAGGTGACCTTCACCCCTGCTTCTGAAGCATAGAGGCTGAAAGGGAGAATCAATATATGCCTACACTAATGATTAACTAATTACAGCTCAGCAGGATTTTTTTAAAAAAATTTTTTATCACAAACCCAAGATTTTACTCCTGGTTTCATAATAAAGGCTTAGCATTAAATGCACAAATACTTGGAAATAAGCCCCACTGAACTCAGTGGAACACAATTCCAAGTATCCTGCATTGTGCTGTAAAAGTCCATTTTGGTGGAATGGGAAGTAGATATTTTCTTAAATCATAACAAAATTCATCCTGGTGGTAACCCAGTCCCATCTCATCTCCATTGCAGATATGGCACCACTATGGACATCATAGGACAAGCAGCTGTACAGTACTGTCCTGCACCATTCAGCTACAGGACAGCTAACATTCTGTGTGCTTTAAAAATGGAACTGCCCCAATAAGAAAGAAATCCAGGGTGGCATAGCGGTTAGAATGTTGGGCTACTAGTATTGAGAGACCAGGGTTCAAATCTCCACTCAGCCATGAAGCACTCTGTATAACCTTGGGCTAGTCACTGTCCTTTTGTCCAACCTACTTCACAGGATTGTTGTGAAGATAAAATGAGGATGGGGAGAACTATGTATGCCACCTTGAGGTCATGGGAGGAAAAGTGCAGATTTCCTGTCTTTTATGCCACCATGGGCTGCTTTTATCCAGAAATGAAAAGGCCCTCTGTCCTCTTGTGTCACCTTCTATACCAATAAAACAGGGTCAGTGGTTGTTGGTGCTTTTGACCCCAGCATTGGAGCAAAGCATTGCAGCTCTTGTGCTGGTCATTACTGCACTCATTGTGCTAGAACCTTAACAAGTTAATTGCAGTAGGTTCCATTAGAACACAGTCCTAACCATGTGTCGTCAAAAGGAAGTACTACTGAATCCAATAGAAGTGGACTTTAGTCCCAAGTAAATGGGGTTAGGATTGCAGCCCAAGTCACAATTGCAATGGGACCCAAGTGCAATTAAATTGCTTGGGTAGAACCCATAGATTATTGCTTTCAACATGTTTTATTGTTAATTATTTATTCTGCTGGAAGCTACCTTAAGCATTGGAAGACTAGTCCTAAGAGATCCAGTCCATCAGGTCTAGTCTAATGTTCAGCTAGTTCAGCACTCTATTTCTAATAGGGGCTGGCTGCCTCCTGGACTACATAAACAGAGCCTGAACACAACAGTTTTAAATGTGCAATCACTCTATTATTGACTTAACATTTGTTAAGTAGCTATAGATTCGAAACTGGGCTCCATAGCTAAGAGAAATTTTTGGAAACTCCCAAAATAGCCCTACATCCCTATGGTCACAATTTGGATCTAGTCAGAATAGTTCTTCACACGATATCCTTAACTCCTGTTTCCATAGCTATGGATTTAACCATATGTATACTTCTCCTCCTAGAGATATGGCTATGGTGGATGGATTCAGCTGGAGGAACACTGTGAGGTAAGCTGTGTTTCTGACCTATGTGACCCATGAATAAAAACTTATCTAGGAATATATATTAAAATTATGGAAAAATCTATATGAATAACCCTACTGAATTAGTCCAAAGATTCATCAAATTCAGCTTCAGATTTTTCACAGTGGCCAGCCATATGCTTCCGGGAAGCCCACAAGCAACACATGATGGCAACAGCCCTCTACTGCTGATGCCCTTTCCAGTTGAGGTATTGAAAAATGATACTGATTCAGAACTTAACTAATAGACTGATCCTCCATTATACTGACTACCCACCCTTTAAATCTAAACAAATATCCATCACCACATATTGTGACAATGAATCCTATGAATTAATTAGGTCCTGTATGGAGGTGTAGCTTCTTTTGGCTGTCCTTTTTTAAATATAAGTTTGAAAGCTCACTCTCACACACATAAGAACAAAAGAAGAGCCTGCTGAATCAGGCAATGACCCATCTAGCCCTGCACCTCACAGTGGCCACCCAGATGCCTGTGGGAAACCTTCAAGTAGGACCTGAACACAAAAGCACTTTTCAGTAAGTAGCCATTAATAGCCTAATCCTCCATGAATTTGTCTAATCCTCTTTTAAAGTCATCCAAATTGGTGGCCATCACTGCCTCCCGTGGAAGCAAGTTCCATAGTTTAACTATGAAGAGGTACTTTATTTTATCTGTCCTGAATCTTCTAACTCTATAATATTCTTTTTGAGGTAAGGCAGTAAGAACGGGGCACAGTGTTCCAAATGTGATTACAACATAGATTTGTATAATGGGATAACGATATCGGTGGTTTCCAAGCATGGAATTTGCCTTTTTCACAGCTGTTGCACACTGGGTCAATATCTTCATCAAGCCATCTACTATGACATCAATGCCTCGGTCATGGTCAGTGACCACCAGTTCACGAACACATGTTATCTTTCAAACTGTTTATATTGAGAAATATGTACAAATACCGTACACATTGACAAAACCAGGTGGTGTTATGGACACGAGCCATGTGGCACTTAGCAAACTGAATGGTGAAAATTGCAAGAATATGTTTGTCTACTTAATGTGCCTGAAAGACAGAAAATATACGTATATCTGAAGGGAAGGCACTTTGACCAACTAACTCTCTCATTCATAACATGTTACTGTGCCTTATTTTAATGGAAGTCATGACATGAGCAATGACACCTTTCTGTACATGCAAACCTTTCCTATACCTGATTTGTTCCATTCACAAAATATTTAATAGAGGTCCAGGTCCTGAACTCAGTCCAACCCATTTTAAATTAAATGAATCTGGCCTCAAGCAAGCTCATTAGCTTATTTCTGCTTCCCAGGAGTAAGTAATTACTTCAAGGCCATTCCTACACTGCCTGTAAACTGAAGCCTGCGGAGAGAAAATTCAGATTAAATAATATGTACAGAGAGGGGAAATCCCACAGCTCTTAGCTAAAAAGCAAAGGACTAAGGAGCAGTTAAAAACTCGCATGGTTTTTAAATAACCCATGGTTATTTGGAGTTATTATATAGAGAAAAAGTGAAATTATGCCCTTTTCAGTTTGCCCCAAAAGTAACTGCGGAAAAAATAAGAACCATTGTATAGATCTGAACAAATACAATATCCCAAACTCTGAAAATCTCTTAAGAATTTTGCTTTCTTCACTTTTGCCCTCTGAATCTTTGTCTGAATCATTTTCTTCACGTCTCCATAACAACCACTGCCTAAAGCTCATTCCCTCTGAAAAGCAACTTTTAACAAGCTCAAGGATCACATCTCAAATTTGCCATCACCTCAGTAGAATGAAAAATTATTGTACATGACCTAAAAGCTGGCCTAGATTTATGCCTCTCTGGAAATCAGATACAGTTGTCTCATGATAATTTTGTAAGGTTAAACACCTGAAACAGCAACTTTATTTTTAATTTTTAATTTTTATCATTTATACCTAAGATGCAGTGACAGCAATTTAGTGATCTCCATAACAATCAAGTGTTAAAAGAATTTACTGGATGAAGAACGTACTGCTAATTAAAAATACCTTGTCTGTTAATCATAATACTCAGCATTCATGAGGTAGATGCTGGAGAGTGAAGGTACAGTGTTAGAAGATGGCTGCTCCACCACGATTTTACATGGAGGCTACATTTGCCCCACCCATCCCATAGTCCGAGAAAGGCTCTGGGGCTCACTCCTTGCATGAAGGTAGTGGTGCAAGGAATCACACCACTGCAGTGGCCAATGAGGTGAGGGTAGTGGCTGCCTTTATAGGGGAAGCACCACCCTCAGATGGCTTTGACAGCAACTCACCCTCCAACCCTGTAAGATAAAGGCATGTGGAGTTCTTGTCCGACCGTCCGCCCCCCCCCCCCATTCCTGTGCAATTTCTATGCCTGCTAGTGTTTATGGTGGTGGACACTTTGCTGCAGATATTTTTACAGTCATTATTTTACACCAAACGCATGTCTCATCATGAGTCTTCACTTCAGGGATATGAGGGCAAAGAGCTCTTACAACTGGTTTTGTGCACCCTAAACAAGCATACTGCTTTGGTACAGTGGAGGATGCTGTCCGCTCGCCAGTGCTGAAGTGATCAGCCACCGCTCTGCTTTACTTCTGTACATGGAAGAGAAGGCACCAACTTGCCTCATTTCTCAGGCAGCTGGCTCCTGTCACTTCAGAAGGTGAGGCAGCTTAGAGCAGGGCTTCCAAGACTCTCAATCCTTGGGAAGGTTTATATTTTAGGTTTTCAGTTTGATATATTACAGAGTTCCTTTTTTTGGTTAAAGGTAATTTGCATTGGGGGACGCGGGTGGCGCTGTGGGTAAAAGCCTCAGTGCCTAGGGCTTGCTGATCGAAAGGTCGGCGGTTCAAATCCCCGCGGCGGGGTGCGCTCCCGTTGTTCGGTCCCAGTGCCTGCCAACCTAGCAGTTCAAAAGCACGTCAAAGTGCAAGTAGATAAATAGGGACCGCTTACTAGCGGGAAGGTAAACAGCGTTTCCGTGTGCGGCTCTGGCTCGCCAGAGCAGCGATGTCACGCTGGCCACGTGACCCGGAAGTGTCTCCGGACAGCGCTGGCCCCCGGCCTCTTGAGTGAGATGGGCGCACAACCCTAGAGTCTGTCAAGACTGGCCCATACGGGCAGGGGTACCTTTACCTTAATTTGCATTACTAGCTTTATTTATTTTTTTGGCTTGGTAAAGCCACCATAGGGTGCCTTGACCACATCATTTTTCATTCAGTAATTATTTCATTGGAATGCACTGTTATGTGGTGAGAGCTCAGGCTTAGCACATCAAGGGAAGCTTGTTTTCCCTTAGGTAGCAAATACCATCTCCCATCACACAACATTAAAATGAAAAAATAAAAACACACTTTGCTTCAGCTTTACTATATCATATATTATTTCCTCAAAATATTTTATGCAAAAAAAACCAGGCATATATTGAGGTTCAGTTTCATCATCATCATCATCTGACTAAAATGGTATTTTCTTGTTTTTTGCTAGAATTTATGGAAGTCAATATCAATAGATGTTGGGAAACACTGTAATAGAACCCACTGTTTATGTTATAAAACAAAGATTTAGCATCAATAAAGGAAGCCTTAGATTAACTTTATGAAGAGCTCAGTGTGGCAGTCGTAGCTTGCAATGGAAAACTAATTTTCTCTGGATCCACATGTGTCGAATAATTAACTGCAAAGCCTCTGAGAATCAGCTCCAAATTAATTTTAACTACAGATCCAGCAAATAAATGCTTGTATTAAATATATCTGGGTCATGTGTGTTCATGCTGATGATAGAATGACTATGTGATTTAAGTCCACACCTTTTAATGAGGAAAGAGCTACCTCCGTCCATCTAATTGAACTAAGCAGATTTGTTTTCGTTCTGCATTGGGCTTGCTATAGTCTGCACATCACTAATGCAGATGGAGTGGGGGAGCCACTGTTTTTAATTAGGACATTGCTCATTGGAGATTCCATCTCATAGCATAACCCTTCAGGCCATTGGAAAGGCTATTACTTCTCTTGCTACAGTCGGCATTTATTTATGAGGGTTTAAAGGAGAACCCCTAGAGAAATTATAGTCTTTTTAGTATTGCTTCAGTACTGCAATGATTCCATATAACAATCTGCCAGCCAAAGAACCACACAACTTACTGTGCATACCAAAAAAATATTCCCACTGATCATAACAAAATGAATCCCCATCATCTATTTTTATACAACAAGATGCTTGATTCCACCAGGTCATTTCCATCTTCTCTAAACCGTTTGGTGCCTGTTATGTAAAAGTCAACAGAGGACTCATATATCCATACTCTGTAGGGATATATGCTTAAGTTCTTCCCTCCTGGCACTTTGGAAAATAAATTCTTGAAATATATTTGCCAGAGGAATCAGATGGCGGCACTGTAATTATAGCTTGTGATATTTGGAGCAATTTTCTTGAATTGTGACACAGCTGCCAAGTCATTCCAGGAGCCTGCCAAAATATAGTCACAATGAAATTTGGGGGGTGGGGGTAGAATTGAGGTTTTAAAATATTTATCAGTTGTTATGAATGATGTATGAGGCTAGTAACATATTCAAGGTTTAAAATGTCCTTGGTCTCATGGCTTTATTAAGAACTTGCAAGAAACCCACTGGGTCAAAACACAAAGTTGTGAAGGTACAGATTACTTTTTAGGCAGGCAGAATTGCTGTACTGTATTGCTTTCAACACCCGCTAAAACTTCTTTGTTTAAGGAAGCCTAACTGGACATGAATTTGTAATGTGTAATACATAATGTGTAATTATAATACAGATATTTGGTTTGAAACTGCTGTTTTTATTTACATTTTGATTAAAAAAAATGTGTCAACTTGCTTTTAACATTTGATTTCATCTTTATTTTTAATGGAGTATTTTATATTTTTTATGTAAACCTCTTAGATGTTTTTGTTGATTAAGAGCTATGAAGTTTTTTTAAATAAATAAATATATTTAGTCCAAGAATAGCCGAAATAGTATCGTCCATATGTTATGAACTACAATTTACAGACACATGGCTTTGCTATATCTTTTCTTAAAGATTTTTACATTATAAACCGTTTTAAAATGTATTTTAATAGTATTTGTCAGGGCCGCCTCAGGTCCCAGCTCACAAGAGACCAACGCCAAGTCCACTTTATTTACAAAAGTCTTTATTGAAGCACATTGTTTGTTCCACAGCCGAGGCGCGCAGCCCCACGTCTGTTACGCTTAGACCGCTGAAGTCCCCTCTGAATCAGTCCCGCCTCTACACCAGTTTAAGAGGCTTGTGCTGGTCCACCTCTTCCTGTCCTTCCTTTTCCGCAGGGTCTTTCTGCCCCCCTGGGTTCCTCCCCTCCTGGATTCCCCTGACGCTGAGTCCCCAGACGCCTGCTCCCCCCTCCTCCGTGCTTTGGGACCAGGCTCCTCCTCCGGGCTCTCCGCATTTCCGCGCGCCTCCACATTTGAACTTGGCGCGCGTTCGCTACCTCTGACCTTCCTCTTGACAGTTACACTACTCTCTGTACTACTCTCCGCCCCTTCCGGCAGGACGTCTTGCCCCGATCTCCTTCCCCCCTCTGCTTCCTGCTCTGCTTCGTCTGTCACACTGGGAACTCCACCCTCTTCACTCCGTTCCGGCGGGGAAGCCGGCCCCGATCTCCAACTCCCACTCGGGGTTCCCCTGCTGCTCCCCTGCTCCTGACGAGTCCCCCCTGTGACTCCCCTTGGCCTGACCAGGGGCGCCCCCTTTTGGGAATCCTCCGATTCACTTGAAAGACTCATGGAAACCCTCAAGTCATTGTCATCCTCCTCCTCCTCGTTCCGGGATTCTTCCCCCTCGCTCTCAGTCTCCTCCCTCATCTGTGCCTCTCTCCCTGAACCCCTGACAGTATTTTTTATTAATAAATGAAGAGTTTAGGCTCCTTTGGGAAGGAGAGCAGGATATAAAATTAATAAATAAAAAACTTCTATCAGCCTCAACTTCAAGTGATGGGAGTTGTAGTCCAGCAACATCTGTAGGGTGTCAAATTGGCTACCCTGGATTTAGCTCACCCCCATGATCCATCACAATCATGGAACTTAAATACAGCATGGATTCCTGCCATATGGCCCCGGTTTTCTAGCATTACCTGTGTGTCACAGTAAATTGCTGTTATGTTAAAAAGATCAGGTCAGCAAAAGCCGTTGGGTACTAGATTAATAAATAACAGACAGGAAATATATCAAAATAGTCCTTTAAAAGTAAATATAACATTTACCTTAATAACTGTTCCCCATTTTTTACAGAGGGAAGCCAAAATGATGAAAGATGGGAAACTTTTCAGAGTTATCCAAGAGAACTGTTGGGATCCAGAGGTTCGGATTAAACAGATGAACCAATCAGGTACTATCAGTATGGATGTGTACTATGCAGACGTCCAGTATGGCAACAGTAGCTTTTAAAAGATGCTTTTGCAAAGCATTAACAATTGATTTTCAGGATATATATTGCATTTTTGTTGAGTAAGAAGAGCTAAAGCAGACTGCAAAATATATTACTACAGAAATGCACCGATAAATTTCCATCTACATTCAAACCTGGAAGCACCAAAGTAGCAACAGTTCAAGTGTTCCTCTTGAAGAGCCATTCACTTGTAGTGGGTTATTTTTCAAAAATATTCATTAATTGCCTCCCTCCAGGAAAACAGGTTCAAGTTTATTTCTAAAGTAGATGATTGCTATGTAGTGAAGAAAACAATCCCAAAACTGTTTCCCCCCCAGTAGTCCTAGAGAAGTCTCATTGCTCATAAACAAACTACTCTGGAATAGTTTGCTTATTTTTTAAAAAAATTATTTAATGGCATTTATAAAACAACTTTTACTAATTTTGTTCTATAGGAGTCACTGTCCAGGCCCTTTCTACAGTTCCTGTCATGTTTAGTTACTGGGTAAGTCAAGCCAAGGAAAAGAATTACAGCATTTTTGTATCGCAAAAATCAAGCAACCGTGAACTCCACATGCAAAAAGGAAGGCAGAAATCCTTCTGATTAATCAGATACTTTGCAATGACAGAAGGCTCAGGAGACTAAACAATGTCAACAGATGTCATTGTACAGATGAGGTCTGATGGATTATAAATAATTGTGTATAAAGCTGTATATATTTGTCTTATTTCTCAGATATATTGATAATGGATGGAAGTTAATTATTAATAACATATCTGAACATTGATCATTATAACAAAATTAGTTGCTTTACTCTAATACTAAAGCTTAACTTTCATTTTAAAATTGGCTTCTCCCAACCTACATGATTGTGAATAAATTCTTAGAGCCAGAGGGGCAATGTGTCCAGTGAGGGCTCAGAAACCAGAACTAGTCTGGATGAAGCTTCTAGGTGATAGAATAGAATTTAGCATTTGCCATTCAGGTTCCATTTTTGTTCTACTTGTGCGAAAGTGCTTTCAGAGGCATCAAAGAGCAACAGTAACAACGCAGGCATCTGCTCCAATTATGGTGGTGGCTAAAGAGCTTTTGTATTTGGCACTACATCTAGTGGAAAATCATATCCAGAGTTTCAGCCTATGACCTCCTGCACTGAAAAGGGGTGGGGCCCATCAAATATATATCTTGCTGCCCCAGCAGTACTTTAACTAATTAGCAGTGTCTGTGTGTATAAGGAGTTGAATTCCTGTATGTAGGGAAGCATCTCATTTTCTGGATGATTGCTGTGTGTTACACAACAGTAGCAGTTGCAAAGAATTTTGTAGTATCTGTGTGTTTTCCAGGTTGTACTTTGTGTGTATGGTGCATTAGGTTGTTTTCATGGATTGGTGCCTCAGCAAAGGAAAAGTAGACCATCTCTAGTGTTTGTGCTCCTTTTTTCTTCTTAATTGTCCTGCTAAGAGACCATAGGTTCCTAGCTAAGCTATCCTATTTAGTTGTTCTGTGAAGCAAAGGGACTTAATTCTAGAGTTCTGCATATGCACTGTTCTTTGAGACTCCACCTAAAGGTTATTTACACAACCCACTTTTGTTTCTCTCCCGATTTGAAAACCACATGTTAATTCCTTCTTCCTTTCATGATTCTTACCAGGCCAAACCACAGGATACTCTAGACCTGTGCCAATTTTTAAATAATGACTTAGCCACTACTGTGAAGAAGTTCCCAAAGAGGTTTATTGGCCTTGGCACCCTCCCATGCAAGCTCCAGACCTGGCTGTGAAGGAATTGCATCGTTGTGTGAAAGAGCTTGGATTTCCTGGTGTGCAGATAGGATCTCATATCAACAACTGGAACCTGAATGCCCCAGAACTCTTTCCAGTCTATGCTGTGAGTAGACATTCCCTTGTTTATATATATTATTATTAGTAGTAGTAGTAGTAGTAGTAGTAAAATTTATTATGTATACCCCATTCCATCCGGCTGGGTTTCCCCAGCCACCCTGGGCAGCTACCAACAGATTAAAAACAGAATAAAACATCAAACATTTAAAACTTCCCTAAAGGAGATGTGGAAGTCTAGATGAGCTGTAAACGACAGATATCATCTTTTCTTTCACCGAGGAAGAAGGGAAGCATGTAGGAATGGGATCTTAAATGAAGATAGTAGCAGTGTCTCACATTTGTTGAAGCTTAGAGTGATTGGAGTTCTAAAAATGATAACCAGCACAGTGCTGTGAATTGAACATGGAAGACAACAGGGACCCAGTGCAGATGCGGGTGGACCTGTGTATGTAGATGCTATGAACTTGGTAGTTCCTGTACATGTAAATGCTGTGTACCCTGACATACCAACTTAATCAGGAGACAGGTATGGAAGTCCATGCCATGATTCTGAATCATGAACAAGGGTTACTCCCATATAAAATTCTTAATGCTACTAATAATAACAATGAATCATTCATTTTGCACTTAAAATAATTGAAGTGCTTCACACAGAATTTTAAAAAGGGCCTGTACCTACCTAAAGGGTCACAATATAAATGAAGACAAGATGGAAATTAATAAGAAAAGGAGAAGGGGGATAGTACATGTATGTACATCTAAATGCTGCAAGTGGACTCAGGCACTGGCTGATGGAGATTCCAGCTGATTGGAGAAGCCCATTAACTGACTTATAGATCCTCCTAAGACTAGCAATTATTTGTTATATTTTTATCACAACCTTCCTCCAAGGAGCTCAGGAAACAGTATATCTCTTTCTACCCCACCCCAGCACCATTTCATATCTTCACAACAACCCTGTGAGGTAGGTTGGGCTGAAACATGACTGTGCTTTCTGTCCTCAGTCCACGGAAGCATGAGTGAGGAATTTCATGTGAGCAGCTGAGACTGAATTCTTTAGTTGAGATTCCTGCATTGCAGAGGGTTTGACTTGATGACCATAGGATCTCTTCCATTTTTACAATTATAAGATTCTATGATTATTGCTCTTAGATGTTTTGTGTTATAAAAATACCAGACTCTTACGTTTAAACATTGGCAATTGTATTACTTGAAATGTCATGTTTTTGGTCGACTTTTTAATAAACTCTTCCCTACTGCCTCTAATTTTAAGGCTGCTGAACAATTAAACTGCTGCCTCTTTGTGCATCCCTGGGACATGCAGACAGATGGAAGGATGTCTAAATACTGGCTTCCCTGGCTTGTAGGTCAGTAGCACTTACAATTCTTAAAAGACATTCATTCATTTTGTTTGTGAGTAACAGCAATGAGCCAATTTGGCATAGTAGTCAGGGTGTCAGACCCAAGTTCAAATTCTCACTTAATCTGAAACTCCCTGCGTGGCATTTGGCTATTCGCCATCTCTCAGCCCAACCTATCTCACAGGGGTTTTTTATAGGGATAAAATGGAGATGGGGAAAAGTGGGCTATAAATGAAAATATGCAGGAGACACAGCTGAAAATGTACAAGGAAGATTTGCACAACTTTTCTTACAGTTCCTTAAATTCATTCACATCCATGAAGTTTGCATCAAGGGGCTTTAATCAGGATGCCGTTGATTGTTCTAAGTTCCCTAATACAGCAGTCCTCTTAAAATGGCTTTAACTATCACCCTGAGAAGTACTGAAATGGGGATGTATAAATTTCCACATATGTAATGCCTTGCTGCCACATGCCTCTGGGTGGTGGCAAATTGTGGCAATTTACACCCCCACACCCACCATTATGAGATAACTGAAGCATAGATTGTGCATTATCCTTGAATAAGCATGTTACCACCTTGGATGCTACTTGGAAGCATGAAATGAAGGTGCATAAATCACTTTTGCTTTCCTTTTTCCCCATCAGAAGTCACAAAAGACATTGCAGATAGGAATAAGCTGCTTGTAATTAACACATGATAGAAAATTGTTAGCTTTGTCAGATCTCAAGATTCAATCTCAATAGCACTGTGATCTCAAACTCCCCCCCCCCCTTTACTCCACATGGGTCTTCAACATTTTTTTCTATTTAAGCCCACATGGAGCCAAATGTCTCCTGGCACATCTTAGGATACTCCTAATGTTCTGAATGTCTTTACAGAAGCAGAAGCATATCTGCTTCTCCTATAGCTCTTTGTTTATACTACATTGTTCATTCTCCCTCAAATGAAAATGAAATTTCTTTTCAAGAATAAAAGTAGCGATGAGAAGATCAGCTATTTTTAAACTGAATTGTCATCTTTCTTTCTTCCGTGGGGAGTATTTGCAACCAGCCAGTCACTGATATGATAATCTGTACTTCCTGTGGGTGAAGGTAGTCAATACAGGGCTTGATTCCAACTTCCAGGGCCAGTGATTTGCTGGAAAAAGAATATCACAGGCAGAAAATGAAGGGAGGTAGAAAGGGGAATGAGTGAGAGTTGAGAGAGCAGTTGCTGAGCCACCTGTGGCCTGGCCTGCCTGCTCGATTGCTTGCGAAATTTTTAAAAAGCATATTGTCCATTCACTCTTCCTTATGGGCAACCTTATTCCCATTAATTGGAAGAGAGACATATATATATGGCACAGCACTCCGGCCATTAGGGAAGATTCAGGGAAGGAAAGATCCTTGGTTGTAACCACTGAAGATGGAAGCAGAGGACTATAACCCCAGGTACCAAGGTTCCCTAAAGGTGCTGATAAAACTTCTTCTCTCAAGCCAGTTGGGAATTATTTCCACTTTTTACAAATGAAAAAAGATCTGTATTGTTACTCTTGAGGATATGGCAATGTGTATGTAAACAGGCTAAGTGCTGTACTTGTAACAAAACCTTATCAGGAAAATGTTGCTACCTTTTAACTTGCTTGATTATTACTGGCACTGAGCAGTGCACCATAGCTGCACCTATTAATTTGTTTTTATTTTAAGTACCTAGCGGTGAAATATCAGCATTGCACAGTATTACAACATCAACCCAAGTTGAGAGAGATGAACAGGCAAGGGGAGGGGAGGAAGTCAATGAAGCATGCAGATTTCTGTTCCCCATATAGATTTTTTTAAAAACTGAATTTATATACCACCCTTCACCTGAGGATCACAGAGTGGTTTACAGTATAAAAACAGAAAAATGCATACATATGTTGTGTAAACTCATCATATGCATTCATACAACAATGTATTATCTAATTATCTCAAGGGGCAACAAAGCACCATTCCTCTGTATAGTAGCAGCTCTACATGGTCACCACAATCATTAGAACGACTCACACCTTCCCCAACCTAGTGCCCTCCAGATATTTTTGAACTACAACTCCCATCAACCCTATGCTGAGTGGGGCTCATGAGAGTTGGGAATCCAATATCTGAAGAACAGAAAGGAAATACTGGAGTAGACTTTCATATGGGAAGGTTCCGCATCTGTCACACTGCACATTCTTGGAAGTGACTTGCTCTGGTGCAGGGAGACTCCATGCAATGTGGGTTCATTATCAATGTGATAGGGGATCCTATCAAATTACAGCTGTCATGTTGTTTCCAACTAAGTTTTAGTCAGAGTAGACTCACTGGGTGGGATTCAGCTAATGAGGCCCATCAGCATAAGCCCTTTGTAAGAACTTCCACTTGCACAATTGGGTTCCTCCCTTTTCCTCCCCAATGTCCCCTGAAATTGGCTTGGGGTGTGTGTTGGAGAACCCTTAGAACAGCAGGTGAGGAGAGAAGAGAAGAGGAGAGAAGAAGAAGGGGATTGCTCCATCTGGCAAGCCAAATGCTGATTGAACAATAAGAAGAGCATGGTGTTGAATTCCTCCTTTGAACTTAAATTAGTCACGCCCATCAATTTCAATAGATCTACTTTGAGTGTGACTAACATACTTAGACAAGTATTCCCCTGAACTGTAACTTTCTGATCTAATTGTTTTAATTGCCCTTTAAACTTTTTTAATTGTTGTGCTTTTAGCAGGCTTTTTATTGTGTATTTAACTACAGTACGTGTGACAATTTTATAATGGATGTAATACTTATCAATCACTTGATAAGGCATGTAATCTATATATAAATTAAAAGAAACAACAATAACAATGTAGGGGTGTCTTGTGGCCCCTAATCTGTGTTTCTGATTCACATCTCTCAGGAACATCTATGTGACATGACACCATCACACTCATTTTCCTGGCAAGTAGCTGCTAATAAAGTGGAAAGGGAGCAAGGAAACTCTTTGTGTGATCATGTTATAGCATATGTCATCTTTTCTTAGGTGTTACTGGTAAAATATGAATCAGGGACCTGGTAAAGTCAAGTTGGAGTATCAGTTCTTCAACTATACACAGTGGATTTCACAATAATTGTGATAATTTTTTTTTTACAAAACTGTTATGCATAGAAGTACTGTAGAAATAATTAATAACTCTTTCTTGCTATTAGGAATGCCCTCGGAAACAACCATCGCTATTTGCTCCATGATTATGGGAGGGGTATTTGAATTGTTTCCTAAGCTAAGAGTTTGCTTTGCCCATGGAGGTAAGTATCTGAGAGCAGGAAGGCTGGAGGACACACAGAAATCATCAGTATACAACTCTTTGCCCCAACACACACTAGTCATGGGGTGGTAATTCAACACTAGCCCTACTCAGTCAGCCCATTTAAGCTATTGGGCATTACACACTTAGGTTCATTCAGCTGGGGATGGCTAAGGCATGGTAGAGGCAAGGGCAGCACTCCAGGTACAGAGCCAGATTAGATCTTTCAAGGTCAATATCAGGAAATAGCTGTTAGGAATGTGGATGGGGAGGCAGGGATCACTACATGTGCATTCCATATGCAGAAAGTCCCAGATTCAATGCCCAACTTGAATATATCAGCAATGTCTATATCATTTCACAGTGTTTAATGGTACTCCTAGATATATTCATTCAGGCAAAGTAATTTACAACACATCTTTCTTTTTAGGTGGCTCTTTCCCTTATACAGTGGGGCGCATTTCCCATGGATTCAACGTGCGGCCTGACTTGTGTGCAGTAGATAATAACATTGATCCAAAGAAATACCTTGGTTCATTCTACACAGATTCACTTGTTCATGATGAATATGCACTGAAGATGCTAACAGATGTAATAGGAAAGGTGAGTGAGATGGTATTTAGCCCAAAGACTACAAGTAAGCTCTCTCTCCTGAGTCTTTCGCACTCCTATTGGTGCAAATGGGAATTTCCTTCTTAATGCAAATGACGGGGTGGGGGGCAAAGGATTAAAGCCTCTCTTTCTCCATCATACATCAGATGAGAAGACAAATACTTGCCATGACATGGAAGCAAAGGGATGGTGCCACCTTTCCTAGGTGCTAAAGCATCCCTTCTCTCTTGCCTTCCTTTCTCCTGAGTGGTAAATGGAAAGGAAGAGACAGAAGCCAGGGCATGCCTCTACCCTTTGGCACACCCTTAGATTGTCTCTTCCTTTGCCCAGGGAATAGGAGAAGAATAAGCAGCAAAAAGACTGGTGAGACAGGGGTTACCCGGGAACAAATAAAAACTCATCTTCTTGGTATACTTGAAATGATTACGTATTGCCCATCTTCCTCCAGGGACAGTAATAAATATCTGAGAAGGGTCAAATAGAGACACAAATAATGAAGGAAGTACAGTCACAGTCTCTGTAACATGCCCCAGTCTTTTAACTCCTCCACTTTCCAGGTTGGAAGGTGGATTAGAAGGAAGATTCAGCATTAGGACATGCTAGAGAGAAAATGGTGGCATTTTGCTGGTGCTTTTCAAGGTTGCCCTTCCTATTCTCTTCCCTAATTCAGAGATCACAAAGATGAGAAGTGATACTTGAACATGCCAGCAGTCCACTTGAACTAGATCCTGGCCTTTTGACCTGTTCTGTCCTTATTCACCAATAAAAACCTAGTTGTTGATACTTTATAAATGCATTTGATTGATCCAGTTCCTCCTTTTTTACTTGCTGAGTATTTTACCAGCAAACAATGCTAAAAATAAAACACATCAACAATGATATTAACAAAAGCTGATACAACATGGATTAAGCTAGCTCTTTAACTGTGGCTAATTATTGCTTAAGCGCTAGGCTCTTTGGAGATTTGACACTGTCTGACTTTTATACAGTCAGGTAGGAGATGCTGAGGCACCACTAATCACACTCCAACAAATTGTATCTGAATTGTTTTAATTTTGAAGGTTATTGTAATATTCAAGAGCTTTGTGAGACTTTTCCCCAGTGGAATCAATGCAACTTTCAGAAAATCTCCAGACGCCGTGGACTGTCTTGTAAAATTTTCCACATTTACTTCTATCTCTCATTGATGAATTTATACAGCTAGCTGGAATGAAATTAGATACCTTCAACATTCAGTATCTGAGCACACAATCAAAACTTATGCAGGCCATTGCAAAGAAAGAAATCATCAGCTGTCCTGAGCATACCCAGCCCAAAGAGGACAAATGGCCGGGAGTTTAATTCTTTACTGACAAAGCATGAACTTCTAGTAGCTCCACTGGTGCACCAAATATGCATATACACACTTCTGGTGGCTAAGCAGCTGGAGCCCCTCCCTGAGCTTATGCTCCAGACTGGACTGATGGAGTCGTGGGTGGCCAGCCCTCAACCCCAAACTTAAGTGCCCTCCTCCAACAGCACAAGGGCAAAAAACCTGTGACTCCTTCAACACAGGAGTTGTCAATGTGCCTGTCTCCTCAAGCCCCTCCTGGTCCTGGGAGACAGCAGGGGAGGGGACAGAAGGGATTCTGATAGCTCCCTCCCTTCAAGCACCATTTCTCCCTCAACTTCTGGTACATTCTGTTCTTCCTCCCTTGCTCCTGTCTCATGGGAGGCACAAAACTCATATATCACTTCCCATTTCCTTTGGCTCCGCCATCTCTTCCACCCATGCCTGTATCTGCAACCCTCCTGCCAACCCAGCAGTTTGAAAGCATGCCAGTGCAAGTAGATAAATAGGTGCCTATGCAACCGTAGGGTGGTGTCCAGGAAGTCCACATTGACCTATCAGCTCAAGCAGAGGGCCTGGTAAGATATGGCAGGGCAGCACCATTATGTATAAAGCAGGGCCAAGTGAAGGTAATGTTTTACATCAAAAATAGTGCACAGCTAAGGGGAAACGAATTCCCTCCAGTCAGTTTGTGTAGACACCCATGTCACTTTTATCCAGGTATGAGGACTGGCACCTCATTTGTAACCCTCACCCCACAAAAAGGCACTGATTACCAGCATGCATTTTGGCCCCATGCTGGATATGTTATCAGACTATGAGAAAAGTGGCTGTGTAACAGACTGTGGAGACCCAAGTTACACATTCTCTTCCTTTGACCCAACGGGGTATAATTTGTTTCTCTATTGACCTTCACTGAACTCTTTCAGCAACCATGTAAGGCAATGACTTTTGAAAGTAACAATATTTTCCAGCACCCTGTTTGCTCTGATATCTATTTCTAGAACATCAGCAGACTCAGCTGGTGGATTTGTTATTCTGAGCATTAAGGTATACGTTATGATATATGTTACCATAAAACACAGTTCCAAGCTTAGAATCATAAGAGAAAGAGCATCTAAAGTCCCTAAGGGCATGTACTTTACATATACTTTACATAACAGACTTTTTTACTTTATACTGTACATGGTTGAGGAGTCACATGGCTGTATATAGTAGACACATGTAAGAGAGATCTTGGCCAATCACAGATTTCCAGAACCTTTGCGCCCAATATTTCCTTTGTCATCTATGGCATACATCTCTTCCTTCGTGCTTTACAGTAGCTTCCAAAAGACACAAGGCAAATTGCAGTGGGCCTGTGCTTTGACATAACTGTGTTAAGATTGAAGTGTTTCTTTCAGAAACCCCATGGTGACACCTGCTGGAGACATTTGGCAGAGGGGGAAATATTTTTGTACACAGCCTCCAGAATTTCCTTCAGAATCAATGTTTTGGGCATTTGTTCTGATATCAGTGACTGTGTTGTTTGATTGTTTTTTTCTAAGATGTGTTTATAACATATGTCTGCTTTTCTCCAAGGAACTCAAAATGGCATAAATAAGAAAATCTCATTTTATTAACCCTGTGAGGCAGGTTAGGCTCAGTGGCAGTACTTGGAGCACCACAGAGACAACTGAACACTGAGTAAATGTGATATCTAAAAGAAGCAGGGTTTGTTTTATTTAAGTGTCAGTTTGTATTCATTTCTCAGTAAGAAGGAAACAAATGGCTATGGCATGGTGGATCACTCCATACACCTTCCTCTTTTGTCATAACTTTACTTTTCCCTCCCTCTACTTTAACACAGGACATAATTTATGAATGATCCAAAATGATCACAATACCTCAGAACCTCCAGCTTTCTCTACCCATAACAATGGAAGCAATTTGCACAGGAAGAACAGCCTTTCTATGGAGAAGGAAGGAAAGGGGTTGCCTTCTTTAAATACCAAATCTTGCTTTCTTCCTCATTAATCATCCATTCAGTAACAGCATATGTTAAAGCAATCACATATACTATATCCACTTACTCGGGAGTGCACCTCATTGCACTATTTCTCCTACAACAAAAACACTTACCCTCTGAGGTAAATAGTACAATCTTGTACAATTCTCAACTTCCTGGCGTCTTTTACCCAGTATATAATCTCTTTTACTGGCCAGCAATTTGCACACACAGAAAAACCAAAGAGTTTTAGGATATAATAATCAAAGTGCGCCTCACTTATATATAGAAAAAATAATAATGCTCCCCATAGGACACTCTTAAGTTGGAAAATGTGCACCTATTAAATCAAGGACAAATAACTTTTGGCGCCCAAGTCATTGTTGGATTCCAACTCCTGTCAGCTCCATCTAGCATGATCAGTGGTCACAGGTGGTGGAAGCTGAAGTCTAACAATGCCTGGAGAACTACAGGTTTTCCTTCCCTGAATTAGCTGCTAATAATGCTATCCACCTGCTTATTTCTGTTTTCAGGACAAAGTGATGCTGGGAACAGATTATCCATTTCCACTGGGAGAACATGAACCTGGAAAACTTATTGAATCCATGGAGGAGTTTGATGATGAACTAAAGGTATTATTACATTTTTAAAAAATCTTTCCATCAGTCCCAGCCATCACAACTTCACTGGCTGGGACTGATGGGAATTGTAGTCCAAATCAGAGCAGGGTTTGTAGTTCAAGAGGGAAAGAGTTGCTTACCTTGTGCCCAGCAGGATTAACAGATTTCTAAGTCTTCTGGCATGAAGGGCGAAATCCCTTTCACTGCTTATGGGAGTTTGCAAAGCCCAGTGAAAAATGAGGAGCTGATCCCTTTCTTGAGTCCTCTGCATATGCTGAGAGATTCCTGAGAAGAGACAACCACCAATAATGGTTGGCTACTACTGTCCCTGGCTGTTTATTATATTTCATAATTCAAATTCATTTTTATACAAGAAGCCACTGGACATTTGTTTGGAAAGAATCCTGGTGCAGATATATTAATTTCTTTTCAAGCCATTACTGTATTTGTATCCAAAACATTTGTTAAGACTCTCAAAAGCCTCCTTACTTTTTGTTGCAGGATAAGCTCAAGTTTGGCAATGCTCTTGCATTCTTGAATCTTGACAGAAAGCAGTTTGAATAACCTCAGAACTATAAACATTTATCGCAATGTTGGGTCTTTATGTATAATTATGTATCTACATCCTTATGTGTATGCATCCCCATGAAAATTTCAAATAAAAGTATGTATAATATTTATGGTTTACATCTGGAAGCTTCATGCACCTTCATGCAAGCTGTATGCATTCTCAGCCTTTCAACTGTGTAGATCTGGCAGATTCCCTTGTTATCTACATAATCAATTGTTTGTTATAGTTTTTGATGTTTTGGGGACTTTCTATAGCAGCATTCAAAATGGCCAGATCTGAATTTCAGGAAACATCTCCTCACATGGAACTGCAGTACAACAATTGTGGCTCTTGAGCTGTGCTTAACAGAGCACAGTTCATGTAGGAATGCTCATGAAAGTACAAGGTGCTGGATGTATTTATAGTAACAGAAGTCTCCCTACTTGACCTCACTTGGGAGCTGAAGTGGAGAAATGCATTCAGCTAAGCTCCTCAGCAAAGATATAGTATAGAAAGGACCACATTTGAAGAATTATTAAACATTCTCCTTCAACTATATGAAGAAAGGCTACATTTGTTCTATTCATATGCAGCAGAATAGAGTATCTATGGCTCTTTTTCACACATGGAAGAGGGGGAAATTCTTTATTTGAAACCTATCAGTATATTTGCATGTAGGTCTATCGTTTCATAGTAGTGCATTCATTAAATGCCTTCTAACTTGTTCCATGAACCCCTTTGCTCTTAAGCACTTATTTTACATACTGTTCTGTAGGTGATCCTATTAACATGAAGGTGACCACCTTTTGAATGGGGCAATCATATGCAATTAAATGTAAAAAGAACAATCAGGACAATTCTATGTAAAGCCTAATATAAAGCAGCCATTCACAGCAGCGAATAATGCAATCATCCTGACAACACAATCATCCTGAGAATACAATCATCCTGGCATTGCTAAGTTAATTAACACCTTTGGTGCCACAGAAGGCCACTATCTTGAGTCATGGCTAAAACACAAAAAAATCTAATTTGCTTTGGTAAGTTCAAGTCAGCAATTTTGTGCTGGAGGCTCCCTTTGACATTCTTTTGCAGAGTAGGAGGATGGCTACTTTCACTTTAGTTCTGAGAAATGCAAAACAGGGCAGATGATATCTTTTACTAAATCTAATTTTTTTGTTGGTTTGATGAGCGTGCAAATGTTCCTGGTACATCAGATTCCTACTCTGTCAGAGAGCCTAAGAGAAATTTAATGTATGTCAGTGGGGGATGGTGTGAGGGAAAGAGAATTGAACCAGAGGCATTATGTCCCAAACACAAGCCTAGCTAGCAGCAATGTAGTCTCTGATTGAAGGTTCTGGAGGAAGGAAAGGGGGACAGGCATGAGTGATAAGGAAATCTGCCAGCATAATGTGTGATTTCATGAGGGTGCTGATTCGTTGTAACATTGGTTTTGGGCCCCAGGGACCCTTTCCTTCCTCCAGAACTTTCAGTCAGAGACTACATTGCTGCTAGACTTACGTTTTGGACACCTCTTGTCTGCTCCTCTCAGGATAGAAGAGACTAGGTTAACAAGCACATCTCTTGCAGAGCTGTTGTGTTCACTTTCCCTCTCTTATCCTCAGGAATAAAACCCTTCCTCCAAGCTCCTGCCTTCTTTTCATTGAGGCCCAGATGACAGTTGCCTACTCAAATTGCTGCTTAGCAACTGGGTGGGCAGAAGGATATCTCAAAGAAGGAAGGAACGGTGCCCTGCTTCAGCACCATTACTTACAGGCCCATTCATACAAGCCCATTCATGCTTCCTTGTAAGTAAACCCCACTGCGTTCAGTCAGGCTTACCCCCATGTCTGCATAGGGCTACAGCCAGAGTAGTGAAAGGGCCACGTGTCTGCATTCAAGAGAATAGAACACAGCAAATGTCTGCAGTGAATTGAGCATATCATGGGGCGCTCAGACCTGTCCCCTTTCGCATGAGACCGCCTTAAATTTCACAGCGGCGCTGAAATCCTCCTTTTCCTCCCTTACATTTTGTCTTGGGGGGGGGGGGAGGCGGGTAAGGCGGAGTAAAGGAACCGAGAAGATAAGCCTCCAGGCAGCAGTCGGCAGGACTCAATACTGCACGTATTGCTGCTATTCGATTCCTCTAAAGCTGAGGTAAAAATCTGAAGACGAGCTGCACCATATCATAGAGAGAGAACAGCCAAAGAGTAACGTGCGCCCTTGCCGACTCTGCGGCTCATTCAGAGTCTATGGACAACTCTATGGTTTCGGGGTGTTGTTGTTTATATATGTATGCATACATAAAGCCGGAGAGGAGCGGAAGCCCCGTGGCTCTTCCTCGCGGGATTCTGAGTTGTCGCGAGAGAGGCCGCGACGGAGGAGGAGGAGGAGGCGGAGTCGGGCGTGCCGGTTGCCGCTGCGGGAGGAGGAGGAAGTGGTTGTGTCATGGCGGCGGCTGTGGCGGGTTCCGGACCTGGCGCGAGTTCAGCGTCGCGCGGGGCTGGCGGAGGAGGCGGAGGCGGCCCGGGGACCCCTCGCTGGTTCTTCAGCCGGGAGCAGCTGGAGAACACGCCGTCTCGCCGTTGCGGCGTCGAGGCCGACAAGGAGCTCTCGTACCGGCAGCAGGCAGCCAACCTCATCCAGGACATGGGCCAGCGCCTCAACGTGTATCCTTCTGGGGCGAAGGCGGCGGGCAGAGGGACGGGGAGGGGTGGTCGCGGGCCTAAAGGGACGGGAAAGACCCTCTCCGGCTGCTCCCCACCCCCAGGCCGAGTTTTTCCTCCAGGCAGGCGGCCCCTTTGGGGAGCCGAGGAGGCCTCGCCTGCTCTGGCTCCTCCTCCTGGCTCGCCTTTCCCTTCTTCTCCGGCTGAGGGGGTGGGTGGGAGGGAGGCGCCACAGGATCCCCCGGGAGTCGGGGAGGGAGGGAGGGTTTTGTTCGGCGGCTGCGTTAACGGCTCGGCGCGATGGCCTTGCAGGCCCCAGATCCTGCTGGCACGGGGTGACCTGTACTGCCTCGTGTGTGTTTGTGTGCCTTGTGAGTTCTGTGCGGGGCTGAAAAGGAGGCTTTTTTTGTGGTTGTCGCCCCTTGGCGCAGAGAAACTAGGGGCTAGCGTCTCAAAAGGGGGCCTTTTGAAGTGCAGCCGTCTTGTTTCAGCTAAACTGTTCAGTAATGGCTTTGTGCATACGTGATAGGGTTTCGTCTTCTTAATCTCAGGTTTAGATAGCAAGTTTTTAGTTTAAGCTATGTGGGTTGGTTGTTGTTTTTTGTAAATTGAGATAGGTATGAAAAGGAACAGAAGCCTGCTCCTCCCTACACACATTCAAGTGGAGGAGATTTGATGCTTCTCCTAGCATGCGGATTGAGGAGATCACACAGGGCAGCCTTTCCGCAGCCAAGCAAATGTCCCCCCCCCCCATTCTTGTTCTGAAGTAAAATAAAAAATGGTCAAAGTACTGCAAAAAGTCCATTATTTCAAAAGAAAAGTTAGGCACTGTAGAATGTATTGGGTGTTCTATACAATGCCTTCAGTTGTCTGAAATCAGGAATGACAGGCTTATTCTAAAAACTTTTTTTCTCTGCAGAATTTGGACATAATCACAGATGTTTTAATTATTATTTTTAGCAAGGATAATCTGCTATAATAGGTTGGACAAACATTTTCCCCCATTGGGTATATTAACTAGTAGGCTAACTTTATCCTCAAACCCACTTTCACAGACTGCAACAAACTTATTAAAGTAAAGCTTAATCACCCATCACAAATTTCCTGCAAGTCCTGTGTAGATAACTTTGTGAACCCACTGTGTGTTCTTGTTTGACAAATAAACATTGTCTAAACTTGTGAATATGTGACTGGATTCCTTGATTAGCAACAGCTTTTCTAGACTTACAGTGATGACTTATTTACAGTTTCCTACACTAGGAATACTTGCAGAAAGTTAATCATTTCTAAAACAACAAACTTTGTGTGTGGCTTTTTCCAACAAACATAATGTAGACTAAAACGTGGAATAATATGAAAATCTTGAAAGCTTTAGTTTACATCTTTGAAAAATATCAACAATGACAACGTACCAGCCACCCAGAATGGCTGTGTACAAGTAAAAAAAAAGTATTAACTTAAAAATATGAATAAGTTACAGCCAATGCAGTGTGATTTCAAACACCATTCCTGATTTTCTGAATTCACCACTCCCAATGAAGCTTCTTGCCCTACATTCCAGCCTTTCTTGCAAGTGGTTTTACCCTTTGGGGGATGGGGGCACAATTCTTTATCTGTGAGCCCTGGACTAGATACAGCCTATTGAAGTTTGGGTTATAAAGTGTGTTCACCTGTTAATTTAACAAATATTTTAAAGTTATATCTGAATGAAATGAAAATAAATTAGTCTTGTCTTTTACATATTGTGTCTTATGCTTCAATTTAAGCACTTGGAGAGAGAATTCTAATTTGGGTACTTAAACAAAACTTCCTTAACTCTCTTTTTAGATCTCAACTTACAATTAATACCGCAATTGTTTACATGCACAGGTTTTATATGCATCATTCCTTCACAAAATTTAATAGAAATGTAAGTACATCTAAGCTTTATAAGAACAGTGCTATTTGTGGGATATGTAGCATTTATTTAAAAATTTATTTGACATTAGTTAGTCTCAGTCTAACTGTTATTTCTGCTTGTAAGTAGTCACCTATGGTAAGAGAATCTCATTTATAAAATCTATAAGTATCTTCATGACCTAAAAATGCTGTGCTGATTTTGATTTAGGTGAGTGTGTATCTTGCTTAGACTCTCAAATGAATGGATGGCCATGGTTAGGGAGATTCTTTCACAGCTCTGTGAGTTAAGAGAGTTTGGATAATTCATGCTCCAATCGGTTCATTTGGGGGGCATTAATGCCAGTGAGGGACGCGGGTGGCGCTGTGGGTTAAACCTCAGCGACTAGGACTTGCCGATCGCATGGTCGGCGGTTCGAATTCCCCGCGGCGGGGTGCGCTCCCATTGCTCGGTCCCAGCACCTGCCAACCTAGCAGTTCGAAAGCACCCCCGGGTGCAAGTAGATAAATAGGGACCGCTTACTAGCGGGAAGGTAAACGGCGTTTCCGTGTGTGGCTCTGGCTCGCCAGAGCAGCTTCGTCACGCTGGCCACGTGACCCGGAGGTGTCTGCGGACAGCACTGGCTCCCGGCCTCTAGAGTGAGATGAGCGCACAACCCTAGAGTCTGTCAAGACTGGCCCGTACGGTCAGGCGTACCTTTACCTTTAATGCCAGTGAAGGATGCCTAATAGCAGTACTTGAAAGCCATGGGCAGTGTCCAGTATTCCTGTCCCTTTAATACAAGACATGTCCACTTGTAAAGTGAAACTTTTCCCTGTGCGGCTCCCCCCCCCCCAAAAAAAAAAAAATCTCCAGAAGTTTGAGAAGACTCTCCATAGAAGATTTTTGTGGGTGTCGGGGGAGGAGAGGAAGGGGAAGTCTGGCTATACAGAGTTCTGCTTATAGAATGTTGGATACAACACCAGCTGCTTATAAACTGGAGTGGAGTTTGTGGTTCACAATGAAATTGGAACCTGATAGACCTGTGCCAATGTGCCTTGTAAGCTGCAGTCTGTCATGTCCTCCAGAAATACCTTAAAGGTATTTCTAAAAAGTTCAGTAATGAAATTTCTTTACACTTACTTACATTTCTTTACAAATGTAATTAGCATAAACACAGTGGGAGTTTATTGTAAGTAGGTGCCCTTAAGGGACGCGGGTGGCGCTGTGGGTTAAACCACGGAGCCTAGGGATTGCCGATCGGAAGGTCGGCAGTTCAAATCCCCGTGACGGGGTGAGCTCCTGTTGTTCGGTCCCAGCTCCTGCCCACCTAGCAGTTCGAAAGCACGTCAGAGTACAAGTAGATGAAGAGGTACCACTCTGGCGGGAAGGTAAACGGTGTTTCCGTGCGCTGCTCTGGTTTGCCAGAAGCGGTTTAGTCATGCTGGCCACATGACCTGGAAGCTGTACGCTGGTTCCCTTGGCCTGTAAAGCGAGATGAGCGCCACAACCCCAGAGTCGGTCACGACTGGACCTAATGGTCAGGGGTCCCTTTACCTAAGTGCCCCTTATCTACTTTTGTATCATTTGGAGAGGATAATGAATGCTTACATTTTTGTAATGAGTGATAAAATGCAGTATTTTTGAAACTGGGACATAAGAAATAAAAATGCTGTAGTGTTGAACATGGAAGCCAAGGGCGGTGATCCAAAGTAGTGCATACACATGAGGCAGTTGTGTGCATAGCTGCAGTTTTGTTGTAGTTATTGTGGCCATACAGTCATACCTTGGTTCTTGAGCTTAATCCGTTCTGGAAGTCCGTTCAACTTCTGAAATGGTTTGAAAACCAAGGTGTGGCTTCCGATTGGCTGCAGGAGCTTCCTGCATTCATGTGGAAGCCATGTTGGACATTCGGCTTCCGAAAAAGTTTTGAAAACCGGAACACTTCCTGGTTTTTGGCGTTTGGGAGCCAATATGTACAAGTACCAAGGCATTCAGGAGCCAAGGTACAACTGTACTTGCATAGACAAGCTATTGATATTGCCAGGGTAGAAAGAAAACCCTGGTTGTAAATGTGGTTTGTCATTTCTACAAGCAAGCTCCCCCTTTGCTTGCAGCCAAGGTGCTGAATATGGTGCTCTGACCAAGAGTCTAGTTTCTGGTATTACTCTTGCTTTGTTATTCCAGCAATCATAGGTTTTGTTTAGTCAGCTTGTTGGCAGCTTATGTAGCTTAGAAACTTCAGGACACCTAGACAAAGTACTTCTGTCTTCTGTAATAGCCAGAAATGGCCATGGGTTTGGAGACAGATGCTCACACAGACTACCGTATTTTTCGCACCATAGGACGCACTTTTTCCCTCCTAAAAAGCAAGGGAAAATGTGTGTGCGTCCTATGGAGCGAATGCAGGGGGGGAGGCAGGCGGGAAAAGCCCCCAAGAGCCGCACACAAGCTCCGTGCGCTCTTGCGGGCTTTTCCAGAGGAGGGAGAAGGGACTGACTGGCCGCATCAGTCCCTTCTCCCACCTCCCAGGAAAGCCAGGAGAAGCCGTGCAGCCCTTTTAAAGTGCGCGCGGCTTCTGCCGGTTTTGCGGGAGGTGGGGGAATTCCCCCACCTCCCAGAAAAGCCAGGAAAGCCCTGCGCAGCATCTCCCGGCAAGGAGAGGCTGCGCGGGGCTAAAGGGGAAGGCAAAACAGCGAGCGGGATCCATCCCGCTCGCTGCGTTGCCTTCTTCCATAGCCGCGCGCAACCCCTCCGCAAGGAGAGGCTGCGCGGGGCTAAAGGGGAAGGCAAAACAGCGAGCGGGATCCATCCCGCTCGCTGCCTTGCCTTCTTCCATAGCCGCGCGCAACCCCTCCGCAAGGAGAGGCTGCGCGGGGCTAAAGGGGA